TCGAGAAACCTAATTATCAGAAAAATTGTTTTAAAACAACAATTTTATAAATTAAAAACGACAGCAACACTTACATGTTTGTTTGTTTAGCGGCATATCAACTCCTTCATGGGTCATTTAATGCCGAAATGTAATTTTCTTAGGAGTATTAGTAATTTTTTACGAAAAAGGCATTGATGGTAGAAAAAATTTTCAAAAATATATTACTGGTATTTTTTTTTTTTTTTTTGGTTGGATTGGTTTGTTTTGTTTTATGGCATATCAACCTCAATATTTAATGCCGACAAGATTTTTATTGCTGGTAATGTTTTGCTTCAAAAATGTATCGCTGCTAATATTTTTGTTTCAAAAATGTATTGCTGGTAATAATTTTTTCAAAAATGTATTGCCGGTAATAATTTTTTACAAAGTATTTCTGGTATTAAAACCTAATTTTACACTTTCATAGTATTTTGACACCAGTTTGGGGGTTAACTATTTACACATAGCTGAGACCCTAAAAGCTGCTACCACCCAGGATCATGGTGGGCCTAGGAACACTATCAATTAAGAGGTGGTTCCACGCTCCGCAAAACCTCCTTGCTGTTGGACGTAGTTTATCGTCTTACCCAAGACGCGGATATAGTTTATCATCATACCCAGGACGGTAATTTTTTTTTTTAACTATGGAAATGTATTGCTGGTATTTTTACTATAAAAATGTATTTTTATACTTTTATAGTGTTTTGACCCAACTTGGGGGTTAACTATTTGCTCAAAACCTGGGAACATAACAGGTGCTACCATCCCGGATCAGGGTGGACCTGGGAACAATAGCAATTAAGAGGTGGTTCCACTCTCCTCAAAACCTCCTGATCAATGGCCTTACTGCTGGATGAAGTTAATCGTCTTACACAGGACGTTTCCCTATAATGAAATGGTTAATGTTATCATTACCGTTATCATTACTCGAAAGATTATTTTGTAAATACCCATGTTTGAATAGACGACCTGTTTTTTTTTTTTTATTTTAAACACTGTGAATTATGTCTACCGGTTTGTGTATTCGAGAGAATTAATGAAGGAGATGTGCTCTATGGCAGGTTTCGAATCTGCGTCAAGTTTTATAGGAGAAACCCCCGTCTGATCCGTCATGCTTTCTAACCCTGCTATTTCTTTTATTAAGTCTCTCGAATACGCAATCTGGTAGGCGTAATTCACATTTAAAAAAAAATAGGGCGTCTACTCAAACATAGGATTAAGATTGTTATTTCCAACTAGATGCTCGTCAATGAGTTGATAAAAACTTCCCCGGAAGGTGGCTCGATCACTGAGATTTGATTAAAACCCAGATCTCACATCGCCAGATTTCTTTCTCTGCGAGTTTTATCAACGACATTGTTTGTCATGAAAAAGGCTCGTAGCATTAAAAGAGTGAAGGGTGAAATCGCTGAAAAAATATTATCAATGAATGATATAAAGCTATACCAGTGAAAGGAACATTGGTCGGGACAAGTGGTGAGAAAGAGGTCACAGTGATACGCGTAGTGATCTACTGTGTCAGGAACACGAATAGGCACATCAACGATTTGGGTCAGATCTTACGCAGTCTTTATCTTCATCGACGGTTTCGCTTGGGTGAACGAATCATTCTTTATGGTGAATATTGTAATTACTACACATATGCATGCTAACTGACGGATAATCAGACAGGATCTTATCAGACTTTCCTTCTCGGCTCTTTGATCAAATATCACATTTCGATTTTCCTGGGGACGATAGAGACTAAAGATGAATGATAATGGTAATATTAGTTTTATGATGTCAACGGATACTCGTTGCCACTTTCGTGATGCCAGCGAATACTTGTTGTCACTTTTGCAATGCTCTTTGTAGTAGAGACTTTGTAATCGCAGATCCAACTGTAGTAACGCCGTTGAACAATACTGGTGTCAGACGCCTTCGAATAACACTCGCACTAATAGTACTTGCTCGATAATACTCGCTCGAAAGTAAGCACCGAATAGTAATCCGTATAATGATTCGTATAGAGAAATAATGTAGAAATAGTGAATAGTATAGAGATATAGTATAGTGGATAGAGTAGAGAATAGCGATCCGTATTGTAATAGAGGATAGAATAGAAATAACGATCCGTATAGTATAGAGAATAGACTAGAAAATGCGGTCAATTAGAGATTATGCAGTTTCGTTGAAATTGTTTTTAGATCTTCTTTCGAATTACCATTGAATTTGATTTCCAATAGGTGTTCTGTGGCGCGCCATTTCAAAGAATGTGTTTGGCACTACCGAACAAATTCCGCTTCAGAATTATAGATCCATTAAGTATTGATAGGGATATTTGACATATTGCTAAATATTATAACGTAATTCTTTTGTTTGGTTTAACGCTCCTTTGCTTAACTTTTGTGATGTCAACGGACATTCGTTGCCACTTTTGTAATGCCAACGAATACTCGTTGTCACTTTTGTACTGCTCGTTGTAGTAGGGACTATAGTAACGCCGTTGAACAATACTGGTGTCAGACGCCTTCGAATATCACTCGCACTAATAGTACTTGCTCGATAATACTCGCTCGAAAGTAAGCACCGAATAGTAATCCGTATAATGATTCGTATAGAGAAATAATGTAGAAATAGTGAATAGTATAGAGATATAGTATAGTGGATAGAGTAGAGAATAACGATCCATATAGTAATAGAGGATAGAAGATAGTGTAGATAGAATGATCCATATAGTAATAGAGGATAAAATAGAAATGATGATCAATTAGACGCCACGCTAATTCCTATATATACATTTCTTTTACTCTCTCATTATCTACTTATTCAAAATGGGATCGCCTGTGTTTGCTCTCTAGCGATCTATGTTCAAACTCCAGCGTCGGTAGCGACACCTTATTCCTATATAAAAATTACCTGTTGCTTTATAAGGAAACATTCGGCATTCATTCACCGAGCAGCTTGTCGATTGAAATTTATAAAATCTTTGTATTAAAACAACTTTTCAGAAAAATAGATTTCTCAAGTCCATTAGGAGTTATCGCTCTTTCCAGTATTGATGACAGTTCCCTGGCTAACCTTTTTTTTAAGTGAAATGTGGAATGTCAGTGTCTTGATTATGTCATTGTTTTCTCTTTGAGTTCCATGGGATATTCATTTTAGCTGTTATTTCTGTTGGAAGTTCTTTAGTGATTTCGTTTATGTTATTTGGTACTGTTCTTGGAAGATTTTGTAGCGCTAATCCACGTGGTTCAAAGAACTATGGTTTTCACCAAGATCCATATGATTCACTCACTCAAAGCGATTTTCAATCATTCATTTGAGAAAGCGGCTGTATACAGCTGGCAGTTTAGATATTTCTGAACGGGTTTGGTACCATGCATGACATCTATATAAAAGTTTTGATTTGACGAGACTAAGAACATGGCACTAGTTTTCAGGTTAATGTTTTAGTTTTGTGGCAATTGGTGGTATTGGGGAAAACTACATCTACTCTAGTTTATTCTATGTTCAATTTCCTTATCTTCTATACTAAATTAGTTATAACTGATCCATACACTAAGATATCTGAAGTATTTAACATTTACTAAATCCTCATCCTGAATTTTTATGACAGATTCAAGGTAGGTGCCATCGCGCACAAAATTACGTGAATGGAAAATCAGGGACCTTGTTTGTCGTGTGGCAGTCATATAAAAAACGATCTTTGATACCGACATCACGTCCATGGTCATGGGGATTTACAGAGCCTTAATTGGTAATTAAAGGAAAGTATCAAGTATTGCGAATTCTTGTCCAGGAATAAATTGATTGACATAAGTTTCAGAAAGAAACATGAAATCAGGTTTGATCTCTGGAATATGCAGTTCAACTTCTGGAAGGTTAGAACGTAGACTACTTATATTGCTAGAGAATATAGAAAAATAGGAACCAGTTTTTGATTTCGTAGAACTGGGTTTGCCTTTGTTCATTTTAGGGATTAACAGAGTTGAGTAGGGAAAAAAAAACAAGAAACGGAATGATGATAGTGAAACAGCAACAAATATTCGACTTACAGGGTACCCTGTAAAAAAGCGTTAAATTCAGAAATGTATTTCGCTATCAAGATTCATGCACAAAGTGAACAATCATCGTAGATGTTCGAAATGTTTGCCTGAATGTTCGACACAATGTTGTGAGCGTGATAACCAAAAGGAGACAGTAGCTTTGCGGATAGTGTCAAGAGGAATTTCATTCCAAGCTCTGCTTCAATCAGTCAATATCGATGATGTTACGACGACGATTTTGCAAGTGAGTTAGGAGTATACTCCAGATATAGTAATCCATAACATTCAGTTCTGGGCTTTTAGAGGGCCACTTAGGTGGACCAATTAAAGATGGTGTATTATCTCGAAGAATAAATTTGCCACTTTTTTTTTACTGGGCACCCTGTAGTAGAAGAATACTTAAACAAGATTAGTGATCAAAAAGTATATCTGTAGCTGTACACTTCATTATCGCATCGAGAGGCCCCGGAAGAAAGACCAACATAGCCCAGATACCATTCGAAAATAATAATACAGATTTTCTACACTTACTGATATGATAGCCTCCTTAGGAGTTACTCTAAGGTTCGGAACCTTGTACTATCAGGTGGATAACGTCAACCCAGAAAAAAAAAACATTTACCTCTAGTACTCTTAAGGAAGAAACAACCAATCGAGATTAAAATAAAAAGATACAGGCAGATCACTTGAAGTGAATGTCAATCGTCAACCTAGAAACCAAGGTATCGGGACTTCTCCCTAAATCAGAAACCCCGTTCCTAAGCACTGGAACAGGCCTCCCGCGTGAGGACTAAAGTGGCCATTGAAGAAGTGGTGCATAGAAAGACTTCATCTCTCTTTCTTTATACATTCATTTATATATCAATCGATCGATCGATCGATCGATCGATCTCAGTCTGTTCATATCTCCTTGTCATTCTGTACATCTACATCTCTCGTTCTCTATCACAGTCTGTTTATGTCTCTCTATATCTATCTATCTATCTATCTATTTATCTAACTTTCTTCATATCTATCTGTCATAGTCTATTTTGTCTATCTCTTATTATGTTATTCTGTTCATCTTACTCTCTCATTCCCTCTCTCCCTCTTTCTCTCTATCTATCTCAGTGTATTTATGTCATACTGTCATTCTATTTATATCTCTCACTCTCTTTCTCTCGTTCTCTATCTTTCTATCTCAGTTTCTACATATCTTAGTCTATTTCATGTGTCATTTTTTCATTTTACTCTCTCATTCTCTCTCTCTCTCTCTCTCTCTCTCTCTATCTATCCCTGTCTATCCATATCTCTCTGTCATTCTGTTCATATCTATCTCACATTCATATCTCTCTATATTATTCTGTCCAACTCCCCCACTCTCTCTATCTATCTCAGTCTGTTTATATCTGTCTACCTATCTATTTTCTTCATTATCTGTCATAGACTATTTTGTCTATCTCTCTGTGTCATTCTGTTCATCTTACTCTCTTATTTTCTCCTCTCTCTCTCTCTCTCTCTCTTTCTCTCTATCTATCTATCTATCTATCTATCTATACCAGTTTCTTCATATTTATTTACCTGTCATTATTCATATCTATCTCATTGTTATTCTTTCTCTCCCCCAACACTCTCTCTCTCTCTCTCTCTTTATCTATCTAACTCTGTTCATATGTATATATCTGTCTCTCTGTCTCGGTCTGCCTTCATGTCTTTATCTATCTATCTATCTATCTCAGAATGTTCATTTTCTCTTTGTTTATTGATGAATACCTCCCACACAAGTACATACACGCATACACATGCCAACAAACAGTTCTTCTTCCTATCAATTTCTTTTCAAGTAAATACAACTATATTGACTCATCAATCTTCATCTGAAATGCTAACGTTAAAATCCATTCATACTTAGTCATTTCCTGGTTTTGTATTAAAACGATAGCAAAATATTTATTAGTCGATCATAAACAAGAGACTCGTGGCGAATAGAGTCGCATATTTCTCACTGTCGACAGGCGAAAATGTTTCAATAAAGAAAATGAAAATTTTAACGCATTTCTTTAACATCAAAAGTTACATACAGAAATAGAAACTATTTAATATATATACTATAACATAAATTATTTTATGGGGAAAAAAAGAACACTGTTCAGGTATTAATATGTGTGTGTCCACTTCAAACCCTACAGATTAATTAAATATATATAAAGTTGATAGTCCGTCTCCGAGAAAATTTGTGTGTCTGCTTCAAATCCGAAAAATGAATTAAATATATACAAACTTAATGGTGTACCTCACAGAACGCATGTGTGTCCGCTTAAAATCCTGAAAATTTGTTAAATGCATATAAAGTTGATTTTCTATCTCTGTGAAAGCTTGTGTGACCGCTTCAAATCTTTAAAATAGATTAAATATATATAAAGTTATTGTTCATTCATGTAACACTTTGTGTGTGTGTCTGTTACAGACTCACAAAATTAATTAATTGTATATCAGGTTGATTCGCTGTGTAAAAATAACATAAAGCTATGACATCAAATAAGTGTGCTTTATTTTTACGCTATTTTTCAACAAATATAATGCCCAAGAGCCACTCAAGCTAGAGGGTTATTAATTGAGGTTGTTATAAGAACGTAAGAATAGTACATTATGAGGATATGTAGGATAGACAACGTTTGACCCTGGACTTGGAGATGTTAAGATTGTTGTGATCGAAAAGTATTCTCTCAGGCGCCTATTTGAAAGAAGCCCTATGATTGGTACTTCCTTTTTACCAACTGGATACAAAAAGAGTGAGGAGGGGTTCGCCTCTGTTTATATGGTATGGTGGATCTTAGCTGTAAAGGTTTTAAGTGGTGAAACAAGGGAGTGTCAGTCGTCAGAATATTTTCCATGAAAATAGAGATAGTTTAGCCAAAGACTTACAATGTTGCGTATTTGGGGAAAGAGGTTGTAGAGTGGAAAATAATTAATTCCCTTTTGTCATCTTCTGCTCCAGCACTAGGTTTAATTTGGAACCTTATGCCAAATTTATGTATTTCGATTGTGCAATTATATGAGAGCAGACATTAGGTTTAAGGCTCCAAAATTAGACCACTGAATTGTCCAAATGGCCTAGTGGATTAAATTTATTTGGCTAAAAGTTCTGAGTTCAATCCTTGCTGCTGAAAAGTCATACAACCTGTTTCAATGGAAGAGACAAACAAGCGGCACAAAAGTGACGCAGAGTATTTGCTGAAATAAAAAGAGTATGAACTGAAAAAAAAGGTTACCGAGTACGACGGCAGAGAGCTGAAGAAGGTCGGAGAGTAGAACAGGCGAAATGATGTGAGTATAACAACCAACATTAGCATGCTGGTTCGAATAATAAGGAATATAATAATAACATACAAAACTACGAAATTGGTATGAATACGTGTATGTTGTGTAAGGAGAAATCACAAAAACGTTTAGCATGGGAATGAAGGGAGGTAAGCAATGTATGAAGTATACAATGCGGACATTTTAAATAATATATTTTGAAAAACTAAAACATATTAAGAATTAAAACAATATAAGATACTATACTTCTAAGTTAAGATTATTCACCGAAGTTAAGCAACGTCAAGTTTGGTCAGTATATAGACGCTTGGGAATACTGGGTACTGTAAGATTGAATGTGCGGATGGTATAATGGATAATGGTTCAGAATTGTTAATCGGAAAACCGAGTTCCAATTTCAGTTGTGTTCGTTAGATTAACTTATGCGCAAATACCCTTGGGAAAGGTATGCATCTATCTCTTCTCCTCCTAGCTATGGGTTAATTAGTAAAACTTGTTTCACTAAACCATTATTATCTCAAAAACAATTGCTGCAGTCTAAAACCATTATTTTCTGGTTTTAAATAACCTGCAAAAGGTTGATAAGCCGTAAAAAACGAATCACTTAATCAATGAAAGCTTATGAATTTGCGGATGATGTATTGAAAAGCGGCTCGGAATGAGATCGAATTCAACACGAGTTTGTTACATTCACTTGAGAAAAGTATGAATTCATCGCTTCGCTCCCTAACTATGGGTTAAATAGCAAGATAGGCTATGCGCTTTAGCCTTGGTTGGCAGCCAGTCTAGAAGAACAACAATTCGCAATGCAGTTGGGCATGTGGCTAGCAAGATAATTTCATAAAAAGCTACAGGGAACACAGCAGCAACGACAAGTGTTGTTGTGAACTGTAGCGCTATACTCCGGAATGGAGTCTAAGAGACTTAAGAAAAAATAAATGATTATTCAAACCAAACAAATTGCAAGAATTACTATGATACTATTTTAAGGCAGTTGCAAAACTTTCAAAGAAACGTGACGTGTTGCGAAGCCAAAGGAAATATGTTGTTCAAGGGTGACATAAAATAATTTAAATAGATGAACTTAATAAAAACTAGATTACTAAATACAACCTCTGCCCTCACAAATTGTTACATTAGCATATGCAGTTCAAACAAGAAATGTACGAAATATTATGAAACTAGATAGTATGTTATTATTTTTATAATATTAACTGTGTTTCATGATCAATTACATCCACAGACGCATTACAGACAGAAAATGTAACAACTATTATTGAACAAAGGTGGGATATTATTATTCATATAATATTGTCCCATAAGTTACATTCACATAAGCATTTCAGACAGGAAATGTACCAATTATTATGGGACAAAGAAATATATTATTTATATAATACAAATGCAGAAGAATGTGTACCTATATTTTGTAGACTACACAAAGGTGTTCAACAAAGTACGCCACAAAGATCTGCCCTGCAACTTTGACATATTCGGGAAAGACATTAGAATAATCATAAATATCTACTGACAGCAAACCCCCTGCATACAGATAAAAAAAAATGAGTTCAGCAGATATACAGAAATAGAAAAGATGCTTAAAGCCAGGATGTGTCTTCTCACCGGACTTAGTCAACTTATACAATGAGGCAATTCTGAGAAAACTGGAAATTATACCAAGATTCTTCATTGGCGGCACAATCTTAACAACATAAGATACGCAGATAACACAGTGCTGATAGCAGACACGGTAAGGAAACTACAAAACCTCCTACAGAAAGTAGCGAAGGAAAACGAGAAGAAGGGACTAAGCATAAACTACAAGAAGATAGAATGCATGGTCATCAGCAAAAAGATGAACCCGAAATACGATTTACAGGTCGGGGATACTAAAATCAAGGACTTGCGGAAATTTAAATATCTGGGAAGTGTTCTGACAAAGGACGGAAAGTGATATTTATTATGTTTAATACAGAAATGTGGCACATGGCCGAAAAAGGGATTGGGAAAAGGACGATCTTCTTCTGTCTTAACTATAACTTAGCTAGCCACAAACGCTGACCCAATCGTACAAACAATATTCCTTACACCAAAACAACACATTCATACGTACCTTTCTTACTACAATCACCATAATACCTCTTTGTCTCTATGAAAATACTAACTAGTCCCCATATTAACAATTCGGAAAGTGCGACCCTGAGATCGTATTGAGATGACCAAAACGCATTCCAAAAGCTAGGCAGAGTATTATGAGTCAGAAGGTTTTCGCTAGTAACAAAGAAAAGAATACTGAACTGCTATGCGATACCTGTTCTTTACAACAGGGAATGTTTGATGGTCTCCTCAAAGATGAAGAATAGACTCGAGGTAACAGAGGTATGGTTCTACAGAAGGATGCTAAGGATGCCATGTACCGAGCATGTGAGCAACGATAAGGTTTTGGAGAGGATGAAAACAAAGAGGAAACTTATACTCATATCAGCAATAGGCAGCTGAAATTTATGGGACACCTAATGAGAAAGGAAGGGTTGGAAAATCTGATACTCACGGGGCAGATAGAGGGACAAGGGAAAGCAACGCGTGATATACTTAATGAGCTTAAGCAAGTGAATGGCAGAAAAGGGCCTGGGAGAAATAACAAAAGACAAAACTTTTTGAAAGCTACAAGGGACATGAAGAAGTAGAGAGCCATGATCGCCTACGTCCTGAAGGGACAAGGCACATAAAAAAGAAGAAAGAATATTACCTATGTCCCATAATAAGTTACATTCGCATACGCATTTCAGACAAGAAATGTACCAATTATTTTGGGACAGAGGTAGCATATTATTATTTATATACTATTACTTGTGTCCAATAATCAGTTGCAGTCGCATAATTATTTCAAATGGGAAATGTACCGACTATTATCGGATTGAGGTAGCATATAATAATTTCTATAATAATAATTGTATCCTATGATCAGTTACATTTGCATTTCAGTCAGGAAATGTACCAACTATTATGGGACAGGTGAAGTATATTATTATTTATATAATACTGTCTCATAATCAGTTACATTCGCACCCGCATTTCAGACGGGAAATATATCAAGTGTTTTGGGACAGAGGAATTATATTTTTATTCATATATTACTTATGTCCAATAATCAGTTACATTCGCAAAAATTATCAAACAGGAAATGTATCATCTATCATGGGACAGATGTAATCTATTATTATTTTTATAATATTACTTAATATATATATATATATATATATATATATATGTATATATATATATATGTGAGCTTATATATGATATTACTTGCGTCCCATAATAAGTTACATTCGCATACGCATTTCAGACCGGAAATCTACCAACTATTCCGGGACAGATAGCATTACTTAAGTCCCATAATCAATTATATCTGTATATGTATTTCAGATAGGATATGTACCAACAATTATCATATATTTTGTTTATTATTAGTTATATAACATATTTTGTTTATTATTAGTTATATAATATTACTTGTTTCCTATAATCTGTTAAATTTTCATATACATTCCAGGCAGTAACCTATTATGAGACAGAGGTAATATATAATCATTTATATAATAATAGAAGTTTTTGCAACATGCTGACGTGTGTTGAAATCCTAATAGTATTTAGTATTGTTGAAGTCATCGCTAATGATATTTTAATAAACTGATTTCTTTAGAATAAAACTTTAGCAAAAAACCTACTTCGCTTTTTGATATTTCCTTTAATGTAATTTGATTTTTTAGGATTTCGTGTTAAACAATATTTTTTAATTTCGTTTCCATCGATTAATATGTGGCTATTTTAGACGCTGGGACGGACTGTCACACTTACGGAAGTCTAGAATTTTATATATAGATGGATAGATTATTTATGTCCCATACTCAGTTACATTTGCAAATACATTTCAGGCAGGAAATGTACCAACTATTATGGGACAGGGAAACTATATTAATATTTATAAATTACTTCTTGCGTTCCATAATAATTATCACATTTTTAATTTGGACTTTCGCATGACATTAAAGGACTTTTATTTTTTAAAAAAATATCACTTGAATTCATAGAGAAATAGGTTTTATTATTATTTTTGTTTTATTTCTTTTGGTTTCCGGGTCCAGACCTAAGGTAAGAAATGGGACCATGACATTTTCTACTGAGCAGTTTTGAAAAACATTATTATTATTATTATTATTATTATTATTATTATTATGGTTGATTTGTAGATTTGAAGGATGGATTCAGGCGAGAAAAACCTACTAGCGTGACATAAAGAACCAACTTTCCTTGCGGTAGATGAAGCTTTTAAATTAATCGTTTAAAATTTGACAAAAATTATTAGTTACTAACAGCATGGCCCGGCGTTGCCCGTGCTTGATTCAAAAATCGTACGACTCATACAGCAATCGCTATCACTTGACTTAAGATATTTTTGCCCTTCTTTGCCTTTAAAGGAGTGCCCTTTGCCGTTCTTGATGTTGCTACATGCCTTACTTTTTGCCTATCTCAAACTGCGAATTTTTTCTAAGATCTATACTAAACATTAAATCTGTTACGAAAAAAGAACTAAACAAAATGAGCACAAAACGATCAGCTTTAAAAAAGGACTCGTAACTGGAAAAAAACGAATAAAAAAAGAATGTAAACAACAAATACTTTTTCACAACCAACCCAGTTCTGCGGAATCAGAATCAACGTTGAGTTTAAGCAAGCGAATGAGCCAATTGGAGTAAAGTGCCATGCAGATTTAAATTTTTCCTACTTGTGACGAATGCAGTTATCGATTTTTTTTTGCATGCTAGCATGCTAGTTAACATTCGTGTCAGTCAGCTGTTGGCTCTCACGCTGTCCAATAGAATCTTGCTGCCTATTCGTGGCAGCCAGCTATAGGCTCTCACTCTGGCCAGTAGAAAATGGACGCAAACTACATGAAAACTGTCGTAGAAGCATGAAAAAATTGATTATCTCCGCTATCGATGGGAGTTGAGAAATGCAATGTCGGTCTTGGCCTTCCCGCTAACTTGGAGCATGTGCATGTAAATTTTGGTGCAAATCCGTCGAAAATTGCGGCCGTGCATTCGTTACACACACACACACACACACACACACACACACACACAAACACACACACACACACACAAACACACACACACACACACACACACACACACACACACACACACACACACACAGATCCTGTATTTTATAGATAGAGATTGAGGTCTATGGGATTTACATAATAACTTAAGACGTATAAAAGAAATAGATTGGGAAAAAAATGGAGTATTGCTACAATGTCTGAGCTGGAGCTAGTCAATCCTCACTTTCCAGTCTTGATGAACACCAAAATCTACTACCTTTTTCCCCAATCATATCATACAACTCATTCATCATCACCATTTCGACTTTTATACTCTACATTTAATGGCTCTCGAGCATTGTATTGGTTGAAAATTAGTTTTAAAAAAAAAACGAAAAACAAAACCAGAAAATATTTTTTTACGCAATTCAATTTGATCTGAGAAATTTTATTTAAGTACAAGATAAAAATAAAAATATATATAAAATCCGGAACAATACTTGATGATCTTGCTTACATATCTGATGAACGAAGTCCAGTTTACTTATAAAAATTCAAAATGATTTACATGTAATTACTCAATAACGAAAAAAAAAAAGCGTATCATGGCGGCAAGAAGTAGTTGCAGTAAAATTAAAAACCAGACATATTTTTTGTTTGTGTATTTTGGGCGAATGCCTAATCCTTACAAAACCATTCACGAATTGTTTTGTTTCTTTTCGTTAAACTCTTTCCCCCAAAACGACAATTAAATGAAGAAAATGTATGCCATTGAATTATATTTTTTTATTTACTTAATTAAGTACTTAAAAAAAATTGTTCACATTTTGTTTGCGCATCAGCTGAAAATCTCCAAAGATGAAGACATGAGCCTCCAGCAATGAACTTATCTTCAGTTAGGTTTTCTAGTCTCTTTTGTTAGTTACATAACGTCGACAATGCAGATCATCTGCTAAAAACATTCATTGTTGCGTGTTTTTTTTTGGTTTTTTGTTTTGTTTTTTTTTGTTTTTTTTTTAAGTGGGCGAGTCTGTTTTAAAATTACCAAGTGTACGTCTCAATCTTGGAGATTTTTTCATTCTAGATTTGAAAAAATTATTGTTAATATTTTGGAAAACCAACGATCTTTTTTATCTTTGATTCGATAAATTCATTTTGTCAGAGATTTTATTTAAGCTATTTGAATGTCGCATCGAGAGAAATATTGCAAAAAATATTTTGTTAAAAAAATCTTACGTAAGAAATTTGTGTGAATGACTGACAGAGAGAAAGAGAGGTAGTAATAAATAAAACGTTGGTTAGGGTTGCATGAGACAGGAAATTGCGAGAGCCATTATTGCCCACGCCCTGAATTGACACGTTATATAAATGGAGATGATGATCGTTCAAATTTTTAAGGTTGAAACAAACATTGGGAATTTGGTGACATATAGTGGTTGTGAGTCAAATCCCTGTGTTAGTCAGTATGTACTTTCACTCAGTAGAAACGGTCGAACAATAACTGGACAGAACTAGATAAAATAAGAACTAGATGATATCCCTAGACATGAGCAGTGGAATGAGAACAGTCTATCCCCGTAGGTTAAATAAAGGGTTCAGTTCAGAATTCCCTATAAGTTACCTAGATCGATATATACCTGAGGAAGGCCGGAGGGCTCATCGGGCGTATTGCGCAAGACGATAAGCTATATCCGCGCCCTGGGTAAGACGATAAACTACATCCGCGTCCTGGGTAAGACGATAAGCTATATCCGCGTCCTGGGTAAGACGATAAACTACGTCCAACAGCAAAGCCTCTGATCAGGAGGTTTTGAGGAGCTTCGAACCACCTCCTAATTTCTAGTGTCCCCAGGTCCACCCTAACCCGTGGTGGTTGCACCTATTAAGGTCCCAGCTATGGGCAAATAGTTAACGCCCCAAACTGAGGTCAAAACACTATAAATGTGTAAATATAGGTATGAATACATTTTTGTAATAAAATTATTATCAACAATGAATTTTTGAAGAAAATAATTATTACCAGCAATACATTTTTGAAGAAAAAAAAAATATTACCAGTAATAAAAATCTTATCGGCATTAAATAACCCATTGATGTGTTGATATGCCGTAAAACAAATCAAACTAAACCAGGGCTCAACGGAAAAAACGTTCTGATAAAAACAACCAAGATGAGGATAAATAAATAATAAATTATTTTTTGTCGACTGTTTTTCAAAATTTTGCATTTCTAAATTAGGGTCCGAAGAGATCTCGGCTCCAGAAAATACGTTACTTGAAAAGCAAACATTTTTGTATTTTGGGGATTTTTATTTTAATTGCTCTATTTTTTCAGAGATTTTATTTAAGCTATTGGAACATCACGTCGAGAAAAATATCTTAAAATGTATTTTGAAAGAGAAAATACCTTTGCCAGTTTAAATTAGGAGATGTTTTTAGGCTCCAGAAAATACAATATGTTTTAATGAAGAAATTAAAAAAAAAACAAAGATGTAGGCACAATCACGTTTTCTCATTTTTGGTTCAACCAAAATCCAGTAAAAAAATTTCCAGTCGAAGTTCAGTCACCATGCATAAAAAGCAATATGTGGCCATATATTTTTTGTGTGTATTGCTTTTCTATATCAAAAGAAAAGTCCACAGTATAAAATAAGATTATTTCTCTCAGTGTAGTGGACTCAACAGATGACTTGTAAAAATAAATATTGACAGTATTTTATGATTGATTGATTCATTTTCTACGACTTATCAACCCTTTGCAGGTTATTTAAAGCCAGAAAATATTTTTTATTGTAAAAATTGGGTGGCGAGAAAATAATGATTTTAGTGATACAAGTCTTACTAATTAACCCATAGCTTGGGGAGAAGAGATGGACTTATACCTTTCCCAAGAGTATTTGCGCGTAAGAGAATATAATGAATTCAACTGGAACTGGAAATGAAACTCGATTTTTCGATTAACAATTCCGAGTAGTTATCCATTACACCACCTGCATATCCAAGCTTACAGCACCTCGTATTCCCAAGCGGTCATCCATCAAAGTACTAACCAGGATCAACGTTGCTTAACTTCGATGATCGTTGTTTCAACCTGATGTAGTCGTAAGCCGACATTATTTTAAACCTGACGAATAGAATAATATAATTTAAGTTTTAAATTATTTTATAGATAGCAGATAAATTATAATGATTTTCTAAGCGTAACTTTGATGTGACACAAGGCCGAAAGTGTAAAGTACCCAGTGATGATCGAACTCACTTGTAACTGATGTATCGAAACAAGCTTGTTAACCATTACAACACGTCGAAGTGCCCTATCGCAGATAAATTATATTCTACATATAAAATGCCAAAAACTTAAATATTTGCGACTTTGATTGACAGCACGAGTAGACTAATATGAGCGATGACACAATTTATGAACCTTAACCAATCTGCTTCATTCTTTCTAAAACATGTAGGAGAATCTTGACTATAAAGTGTCGGAAGTGTATCCTACCGCGAGGATGTCCTCCTGGCCAATCAAAACTCAGCAGCGAACAAAATATCTACTCAATCTTTATAATAAAAATAGGACCCCGGATTCAAATCACCCGTCAGTCCGACTTAAAAGTAGAAGGTTGGGGACTAATTAGGAACAATTTCCAGGGCGTAAAATACAACTCGAGCTTAAAATACTTTAGCGTGACCCGCTTAGGAATAGGGGCCCTTTTGGAAGCAGCTGATTCAATCGGCTGACCCTGCTTAAAAGCATCTATTTTATCAATCGACATCTACACGGATTGCCTTTTTACATCAGACTTTAGCACAGTCGTTATAACCAACCATATTATTTCATCTACGTTACATATGCTTGATCTATGTGTTTATTCTCACGATTTCAAAATTTATCTGCAGGCTGTTAAACTGAGGTGCTGAGCCAAGTGTACAGCGCGAGATTCCATCTTTAGGTATTTAAGAAGCTTAATTTTTCACAGGATCACGAGTGTAGGACACCCACAGGCCAGAACAGATGGGTAGGCAGGTGGGCCAATTAACCCGAATCTTTGATTTTAAGTGAGTCTACGCCCACTAGTAAAAACGATGGAAAAGAATATTCGTACTGTAAGGAAAAGAGTCAAAAGAAGGACTTGGCTGAGCGGCTTTTAGAGAAGTATATAACATCCTGAGAAGTCTCAGGACGACAAAGGAAACCAAGAGAAAGGGGTTTAATGAATATGTCATTGTCGATCATGGTTTATGGAATTGAGATATAGATGCTCAACACTACCACTGCAGAGATACTTGCAGTAACCCAACGTAAAATGCAGCGAATAATTCTCGGCATCGCCTTACATGACTGAAAGAACAACACCTTCATTTGACGACAGACTGAAAAGAATTGCATAACCAAGAACATCAAGAATGTTAAACATCGATGGGCTGGCCAAGTCCCTGCTCTCAGACACAACGGGTGGACTATTAGATTTGCAAGATATTTTTTTAGAAATAAAAATGAATTAATGTTACAAGTCCTATTTAACCCATAACTGGGGAGAAGAGGTGGATTAACACCTTTCTCAAGAGTATTTGCGCATACGTGAATATAACGAACCCGACTGGAATTAGAACTCTGCTCTCCGATTTCTAATTCCTAGCCGTTATCCAACACATCACCCACACATCCAAGCTTACATCAGCTTCTATTCCCAAGCGGTCATCTATCTGGATACTAACCAGGTTCGACATTCCTTAACTTCGGTGGTCGTACAAGAACTGGTGTTTCAACGTGGGACTATTAGAGCAACACAATGGACAATAAAGGCAGTAAAAAGAACTTGAGGGCGGCCAAAAACAAGATGGATCGTGAGTTTGACCCGATGCCTCGGCTCCACATGGGGCATTATAGCCAGGGACAAGAAGGGGTGGAGCTCAATCAGGGTGGGGTTCTTCCAACAGGAGAGAGGAGGCCCTAGATTTGGATTTGGATTTAGAAAAAGAGTACAAATAAAGAGGAGATAATTTTTTTAATCTTTTCACCCCAAGCAAGGCAATAATGCCACTAAGGCATAAAAGGTTACTGAGTCTTAGAGAATATAAGAAAAAATCGCTATTAAGGAGCAAGAATTAAGAAAACATTAGATAGCGATGGACATTGCATTTAAATTTTTGAATATCAAAGTTTACTGGACAAAAAAAAACTGGAAGGGATTTCCACAAGCGAGAAGAGTGACAGATGACAATTACTATGAAGGTATTTATAGAAACGTCACGGGGAAGCTATATTAAGGCGGGGGGGAAATTGACTGAAGACGAGATACGCAGATAACACAGCTGTTGGCATACACAGAACCAAAACATCAACTTTGGATAGTTTATTCACAATTGTAATTTGATTATACATCATATTCCAAAATTAGAAAAATAGAATGAAAAAGTAAGTAGACAGATCTTGTTGATTGAATCTAAAAAAACACTTTAAAAAATTATGTAATAAAAACAATGCTTCTTATAATATGTAAATATATAAGTAGGTCGATGGAAGAAATTCGAGTGATGAAAAAACAAGAAAAATTGTAGATCGTTAGACCTTTTGACCAAATAGAAGTACAATTATTTTCTAAGTGCAGCTTAGATGAGGCACAAGGCCGAACGTATGGGGCATCTAGTGAGGATCGAACTCACTACTCAGTCATAACTGTTCTCACGAAACAGGTTTGCTAAACCATTGCAACACTATTTACACAATCACTTCCATCTACCGGCCTGAATATTAAAGCAGGATTCGAAGCTGCGTTCACTTAGAGGAAACTGTCATTAGATCTTACGTGCTTCATTTGCTCGACTACAAAATACCTAGTGGTCAAGTAAAGATCGAATATTTGCTTTTGAATACAGACCTTTCTCGAAATTGGCATCTCTGCCCAGTTTCGTATCCTAGTGTAGACAAAAATAATTTATAGGAATTCATTTGTTAATACGACATATTTTTATTTTAGAAGAAAATAAATATACTGTTTAATAAATAAAAACAGAGCATCTACTAAAACATGGGTATCCACTATAAATAACGTTTAAACATTAAAATAAATACATACACATAAGATCAAATAAGAGTGAAACCGACGGTCACAAACTCATATCCATGCAACTATATATATATATATATATATATATATATATATATATATATATATATATGGAGATAACTCCGACAATTATTTTAATATATTTTCTGTTAAAACGTAATTTTTATAGATAAAGATATTTAATTAAATCCTCTTTTATAATAAACAGTATTAACAAACTTACTGGCCTGAATGTTCAAGAACTTTCAAGAATATATATATATATATATATATATATATATATATATATATATATATATATATATATAGGGATGTATGTCTGCTTAATTCACGTTCTGTTGTTGTTATGTTCAAATACTTCTGACTGTCTCAGTTATTTTCAAGATCAAATGTGCTCTCTCTGTGCGGTAGGCAGAACCGCTACAAATGATGTGACCATAAACTATTTTAAACTTACATCTTTCCTCAGAAAGACAACATGTAGTCAAAATAATCGTGCCTACTGAACAGTGGCTGCATTGGTTCTTGAAAATGACTGAGATAATTGAAAATATTTGGACAAAACAACAACACAAACTTCAGACAGTTTATTCACAATTTTGATCACAATACACACCTTATTTGGAAATTGGAAAAATACAAAAAAAAATTAAACAGGCAGACCTTTCAGTTCTTTTTAATCAAACTTGTTTGAATGAATGCTTGCTATTTAAATATACCTTATTCATATATATATATATATATATATATATATATATATATATATATATATATATATATATATATATATACTCGACACTCCTGTCGAATTTGACGTATGAGGAACAAGCAAATCAGCTCCCAGGAAACCGACAGTCCGACAACAGCACATGAGATTCGATTATAGTGGTGAAGGTTTCGTGCAGGACCATCCACACTTTTAGAAGGGCCGAATACAGAGCCCCCCCAAACGACCCTCCGCTGAGTTGTCCTTCTCCTAAACTAGTTGCCATCCTAGGCTATAGAACCCACTCTGTCCCGCTATTTACCCAAGGGTTATAGCACGTAAGTGAATGTAATGGATTCGAATGGAATTCGACCTCGTCTACACACACACACACGCACACACACACACACACACATATATATATATATATATATATATATATATATATATATAATGTTGTCTCTTTCTTAAATGTAATGGATTCGAATGGAATTCGAACTCGACTACACACACACACACACACACACATATATATATATATATATATATATATATATATATATATATATATATATATAATGTTGTTCTTTCTTAATTATTTATTATATATATATATATATATATTAAATAATTAAGAAAGAGACAACATTAAGGTTCCATGACTAATGTATTTACCCAGAAAATATATTTTTCGTGGTTCATCAGTTACAAAGATGAACTAGTTCCCTAGTTACAAAGGATTATATTTTCTGGGGAAATAAATTATAGTCATGGAAACTTAAGGTTGTCTCTTTCTTAATTATTTAATTAATATTTGCTCTGGTGTTACATTGAGCTCTCTGGATTACATCCTCTTTGGAATTATCCACACGGATTACCAAACATTTCATTATCTTACTATATATATATATATATATCTTACTATATATATATATATAAAGGAAATATGTTGTAGTGGTTCCAACGAGAGAAAAGTATGTATATTAAAAAAGAAGAGGGTGTGCAAACGTTTTTGGTTGTATGTGGATTTATTGAGAAAAAAATATTATACTTTGTTTTACATTTGCGGCACCCCCTTTTTTTTTTAATATATATATATATATATATATATATATATATATATATAAACCTCCAAAGATTTATTAAAAATGAGCATACATGATGAAAAAAATGAACAAAACATAATAACTTAATAAAAGAATAATTTGTTATTAAGAGGAAAGACCAAAGGATCTTTTTTATGTAAAATTTTTAAAAATATCCTTTTAAAAGCTTCAATATTTTGGTTTAAAATTTTGTTTTTCTTG